TTATGGAGATAAAACTATGATAACTTATTTTGGGCCGCAAATAAGCCATGATGTGAGAGTAATCGCATAGTCGGAGGCAGTTCCGGCAGTCTACCGAAACAGTCCTAGAGAGTCAATGTCAAGAAGTGGGTTAGACAGACTCATTCCTTCGCGTCATTTACTTTGTTTGTAAATGTTTTATTTCATTGAATAATATACAGTTTATACTTTCTTTATCTCTATGAGTACTTTTATTGTCGTCGTTTCTAACTTTCATTCCTTTACATATCATGTCTCTAACCATCTTAAAATGAATGAATGCCATGTGTCTCAAAATAAGAAGACTAAAATAATAAGCATTATATAATGAAAATAAATATATTGGTGAATTGAACAATATTACGAAATAAATAAAAGTTGAATAATGATTATACAACAACACAAAATAAATATGAAAATAAATTAATAAATAAACAAAGATAAAAACAGAAAAAATAAGTTACCAATAAGATAAATAAGAGATAAAAATGTATAATAAAATAAAAAAATGAATAAGATAAGGAATCAAGTGAAAAAGAGAAATGACAAAATGACAAAATAACAAGCCAAAATTATACAACAAAGAAAAAAATTGTATTAAACAATACCTATTAGAAAGCAAAAAAATAATCAAGTGAAATCAGTGAATCTCATCAAGCTAAAAAAAAAATGGCAAATAGCTAGCTTTAAGTAAATTGCCCTTATCACAATTTCCAATCTAAAACCTACATTTTCACATCAAATTAAAATAACAAATAAATAATCTCATATTCCATCACCCAGAAAGAAACACACTTCATAGAAAGACCAAACCAAAAAATCAAGCAGCACACACTTTGACTCACGAACAATCTTCACTAGTGTAGCTATTGAAGCAGAGCACCTTGTGTATAAAGCAAGTGATTGCTCTGCTCTGCCATTGTCAGAATATTTGCCAATAGAAGTTAGGGATGACGAAAAAGAAAAAAATGAAGAAGTACGAGACAAGGTACGTGTATGTTCGCACATCCATCGTAACATTCTCATCTCTGCTACTCCAACTTTATGCTCTTGCTGTCCCGTTAGAGCCCAGCATTCACTACTATATAACATTGCCGGTCTGATAGCAGTGCGATAAAACTTTTAGGCACCTTACGGTCGCAAATAACTCCTTTAACTTTTCTCCAATTAAACCACGTGAAATATCTCCACTGATTTTGCCATCATTTTGAATAACGGCTCCCAAACTTTTTCACTTGAGGTATAATTTGATCTCTTAATTTCACTTCCAAATTATTGTCGAATAGTCCTTTACCAAATTTACAATATAAATATTCCTTCTTACTTCTACTCAGACGAAAACCTTTCGACTCCAATGTCCTCTTCCATAATTCAAGTTTGCAATTAACCTCTTCTCTTTTACTTCTACTCAGACGAAAACCTTTCGACTCCAATGTCCTCCTCCATAATTCAAGTTTGCAATTAACCTCTTCTCTTATCTCTGCTATATATCATCCGTGAAGAGCATACATTTCGGAATTTCCCCTTGAATATGTTCCGTCAAAAATTTAAGATCAAGTTGAACAAATAAGGACTCAGAGATGATCCCTGATGTAGTCCAATCTTTATATTTGTTTGACCACTAGGCGTTCTTATACTAGTTTTTACCATCTCATACATATCTTGCATGGCTTTAATATAAGCAATCCGTACTCCCTTTTTTTTCTAACGCTTTCCAAAGCACTTCTTTTGGTGTACGATCATAAGCTTTTTCCAAATCAATAAAAGCCATTATCTTTACAACGATACTTTTCATTGTGTGTGGCTCATGAGCTTAATCCCTCTATAGTTAGTACAATTCTGAATATCTCCTCTATTTTTATAAATAAAAATTAATGTACTTCTCCTCCACTCATCAGGCATTTTCTTGGACCGTAAAATCACATTAAACTTAGTTAACCATCTCACCCCTTCTTCACCTAAACATTTCCACGCTTCGATAGATCTGTTGGCTCTACCATTTGCCATTTTCTTAAGAGCTTCCTTTACCTCCTTATCACGTATTATTCGATAGAATGACAAATTTTTGTTCTCCTTCACCAGTCCAAGTTACTAGATGAACCCTCTCTATCATTGAAAAGTTTAGTTTAATCTATTTTTTAATTTCATCATCTGTAATTAAAAGTTCTTCTCTCTTCATCCTTAATACACCTTACCTGTTCTAGATCTCTTTCCCTACTCTTGGTAATCTTATAAATATTTCGCTCTCCTTCCTTCGTCTCAAGGCTCTTATAATTTTCCCTCTATGGTATGTGTCGAATCAACCCCTCCAGATCCTCCCAAAATAATTCTTTAAGACTGGCTTTTGTCCCGACTTGCGGCGCATAAGCACTAACAATATTAATAGTGTCACGTCCAATTATCAGTTTTAAGGAAATAATTCTATCTCCAATTCTGCTAACTTCTACAACGTTCTTCCACTCCTTATCTATAATGATGCCCACTCCATTGCGTGCACTTATACCAAAGTTTGAAACCTTAAATATCCTTAGCTTCTTCTCTACGCCATTTTGTTTCTTGCAGGCAAAGGATATTGTCCTTTGAATCATAACCCCGATAACCTCTACAGATTTACAATTCAATGTCCCAACATTCCAAGTACCAAATCTAATTTTGCTCTCATAGACTAATTTCTTTAGCCGCGTGCGTCCAGAATGACGCCATTTTGTTTCTTGCAGGCGAAGGATATTGTCCTTTGAATCATAACCCCGACAACCTCTACAGATTTACAATTCAATGTCCCAACATTCCAAGTACCAAATCTAATTTTGCTCTCATGGACTAACTTATTTAGTCGCGTGCGTCGAGAATGACATGGTAGCCCTTACTCATTTAATACTACATCCGGGCGCCGATACAGCGGCTCTAACTCACTTAAGCTAAATAATGAAGGAAAAAAATGACGATTCTGAGGAAAAAACGATTCAATCCGAAATGAGAGTAAGCCATGATCAAATCAACGGACAAATTAGTTAAAAGCTCATTATCAACATGATTTCTTTCAGAATGGATGGTCAAGATTGCTCTCCCAAAAATGACGAAAAAAATGAATGAATGCCATGTATCTCAAAATAAAATATCATTCCTATGAAAAAGATACAAAACCAACTGCATTAAACAATCACTAATACAATCACCAACAAAGCCAACTGTATTAGGTAAATAAATAATTAATCAAAAATACAATCACTAATAAGACAATTTATAGAAACAAAAAATTTATCCATCTATAAAGAACAAACATGAAAAGAAGACTAATAATAATAAGCATTATATAATGAAAAAAAAGTCTTGAAAGTGAAAGAATTATAATAAAAAGAACAATATAAATAATAAATGTTCTATTGATGAATTGAACAATATTACCATACAATAACATAAAATAAATATGAAAATAAATTAATAAATAAACAAAGATAAAAATAGAAAAAGGTTTTTATAGGCAATATGAAAAAACTCATTAAGTTAGAAAAAGAAAGGTAAATAGAAATTATATAAAATACTGATGATTATTGTTCCAAACGAAAAATATATGGTTTACCTGGTCAAGAACAGGCGCTAGATGCACCCCTCTATAATAAAATTAAATTGCCCTTATAACAACCTGTCAATGTGATCTGCATCTGAAACCTACATTTTCACATTAAATTAAAATAAAATGCCAAATAAAGAAGCCATCAGTAAACTGAAATCCAAGGATTATCCCATAATCCATCACCCAGAAAAAAACACACTTCATGGAAACAAACAAGACCAAGAAAAAAAAAACCAATAAAACAGACAGAACAGACTCTAACTCATGAACAATCTTCGCTAATGTAGCCATTGAAGCAGAGCACCTCGTGTAAAAAGCAAGTGATTGCTCTATTCCGCCATTGTTAGAACAGAGATGGTTTCGCCAATAGAAGAAATTAAATTTATACCAAAATGCTAAGATTGGAAGGACCATGAAGGAACCATGACTTAAGAAGGATTAAAGGAAATTGAATGATTGCACATTGCCTGAACGCAGCCAATCTGACAGTAGTTAAAACAAACACAGTTGAGACATTCATATTGAATGAAGAAAGCGAAAGATGCCCCAGAGGAAAACATGAGGTTTCCATGAAAACTTAGATTACTTGAAGGAGGAAGACTAGCCTTGAAACAAAGACCATAACCTCTCTAGAGGCATTTTTGATCGAACTCAAAATTTTCCTACCTGACATCCAAATAACCGAGAAGTTTCTAACATATAAAAATCAACTGGAAAATTGATTCAAATGCAAGGGAATTAAAGGTTGCCATTCTTGTAAGATAACAAGGCCATCATTTATATAACACACGGACCACCATTCAACATGAAAAGCAATCCTTATGATGTTCAGAGTAATGAGTGAACCCGTTATTAACGAACAGAACCAAAGAAACACACCCACTCAACTTCCAGAAAGCTAGGAACTTAGCCGGATGAAACTTGCGACTGTCCCAAATGATCCCATGAACATAATGATACTTGCACCAAGAAGAAATAACAAACTTTCCATGAAAAGGATCCATCAGCAACAACAAAGACCAGCAGAAGCAACAAGCAATAAACAGGAAGAAGGGAAAAAAAGAAAAAGAAAAAGAAACTTCAGAGAAAAAACAGAGAGATAGAGCCCTCCCATCTGATCAATTTCCGGTGTCAGCCAAGACAATACAATAACTACATGCATAGTTTGAACTTTTATCTAAGTATCCTCCGCCAACTCAAACATAATATTCATCCTAAAAATTGCCCCCAACATGAAGCCGAGTGCTCAATACATGGTTAATGCAAAATATTCCCATCTCCAAAGACAGGTCAAATATGAAGTGGGAAAAAGAACACAGGAAGAATAGAGAATAAAAAATTTCATATTGGAAAAAAAAAGGTAAATCAACCCCTGACATTAAAAAATGCACAAACTCCCTAAACAACCAGTAAAGAAAAGCACTTACATTAAATTGTAGATCTAGTTCAGCTTTCCCTTCAATGATTCCAATCAGTTCATACATGTGCTCATGTTAGAGCTAGTCACTGAAGACTCAAACTCTACCAAAAAAAAAAATCCATCTTAAGAGGAGAAGGGACACATGCAATAAAAGTAGAATGGCAAGAAAAAATTGTTATAAATATTAGAAATAAAATTTCATAACATAGAAAACTTTAAATACTTATTTTTGTAAAGATTAAACTGACAAAAACCAAGGAAAATGAGGGTGACAAGTAAGTATGAAATATCATTCATCAAAATCCCCGACACATAGCTATTGCACTCCTGGACAAAATTTCAAAAAGTAATATATATATATATATATAAATATATATAGAAACATAAATGAGTTCATGCTCAAAATGATAATTATGCCAATTCAATTCTCCATGCTCAACCTGAAATGATTCTCATGCAACTAGAATATTCAGAATGCAAACCTAGTAAGCTTGGATAGGCAAATAACCACACAAAGAAAAGTGTTTACTCTCAACTCAATAGCGTTTAGGGGTAAATTTTCACTCAAGTCCACTTATCCAATCATTCTACCATAGGCTTGTAAAAATTCTAAATCTCCACCACTTGTTAGCAAAATGCATGCATGAATCAAAAGGGCTTTCATTTGGTTGTAATGTAAAGGGTGGGAAGTGGATGTAAGAATGCATGTGGAAAGAAAAAATGTATAACAATATATCACATTTATCCAGCAAACTGATGACATGGGATTCATGAGCATGAGCTAGGTTCAAGACATGGAAATTATACAATAATACTATCAATTAAGAGCAAAGTGATTCATAACTAAGCAAGCAATAACTATTATTTCTTCTTCCTTTTTCTGGTTTTTCTTTCAATTTTTTTATACATTTTTTCACATTGCCTATTGCCTTTTTCTCTCTTCTTTTTTGACAATCTTTTCTTAACTTTTTCTTCTTGTTTTCTTTTCTTTTTCTTCCTAGCTGTATCGCCCTTGTTTCATTTCTTTTTGACAATCTTTTCTTGGCTTTTTCTCCTTCTTTTCTTTTCCTTTTTTTTTTTTCTGGCTATTGCAAATCAATCATTTCAGCTTTCACCTTCAATTCGTTCACAATTCATATCAAATATTAATACAACTCAAAATATCCAAAACTTGAATACTAGATATGCAAATGAATCCCAACAATAATAAATATAGCATAACATGCATTCCTAGAAAGCAAGAGGGTGTAAATAACAAATGTAATGAAAGAAAATAACCGACAGGCCCAAAGTGGCTAACAAAGGATATGATCATGTTAGGTTGGCTATTTGGCTAGACTGGCTATTTTATATGAAGGCTAGCTATTTTATACGAATGCCTTGATCATTTTCACAATGCAAATGCAAAAGTAGGTTTGATAAAGAATTAGAACAAGTTCTGGGGAATGAAATGGAATAAGTGGAAAATGCACACTAGAAAGGAATCAGTATAAGCTCAAAATAACCTTCCATCAGGGCTCTGTTATCCCCTAGCTCAAGCAAACCAAGTAAGAACATTCTATCCTATCCTAGCTACACTTGAAACAGCCAAGTCTAACAATTCAAATCCCATTGGCATCTCATGAATCTAAGAATTTTTATATCAAAACAAAACTTTTATTTAATTTTCTAAAGATCTTTCAAAAAAAGAACCAAAATTCTTTTTATTTTTCAAAAATTTTGGCCAAATGACCTAAAACACACTCCCCCCCACACTTAAATGTTACATTACCCTCAATGCAAATAGACATATCAACCTAAATGAATGCAACACCTAAGGGGAAGAAAGCTTCAAAATGATTACCCCCAATGCAAATAGACATATCAACCTAAATGAATGCAACACCTAAGGGAAAGAAAGCTTCAAAATGACAAAACCTAAATGCAACGGATGACTTTTTTTCTACTAGATCCCCCTACCCAGCCAGTTAGACAATTGCCAATCACAAAAATCAACCAGCAATATTCTATAGGAAAAGAAAAAGTAAAGGAGATGATACAACCTAATTTGAAGCACTTCAAGCACTTGAAGTTGAAGGTGTGATCCATAACAACCAACATGCAATCCTTCAAGATACGCTCCATATCAATATTCCTTCTTGAATTACCCGGTGGCTTGGGATCAATGGGTAATGGATCCAAGATATAAAATATAGACATTAAAAAATGAACAAACTCCTCAGACAACCATTAAAAAATGCACTTACATATTTTTTTAGTTAAAAAGCACTTACAATGATTCCAAACAATTCCTTACTGCTCTTTGGTAGAGGAGCTTGTTCATAAAAAAGACTCAAACTCTAAAAAAAAAAATCCATAAACATTTGAAATCAAGCATCAGTTGCATCTTCTAAGCTCTACAATAGCATTCAAGAACATATTTACACCCCCTAGCATATTACCAATGATGATGGAGAGGGTTCATCTAGTAACTTGAATGATTTAGTAACTGGTGAAGGAGAACAAAATTTGTCATTCTATCGAATAATACGTGATAAGGAGGTAAAGGAAGTTCTTAAGAAAATGGCAAATGGTAGAGCCAACGGACCTGATTGTATATCTATCGAAGCGTGGAAATGTTTAGGTGAAGAAGGGGTGAGATGGTTAACTAAGTTATTTAATGTAATTTTACGGTCCAAGAAAATGCCTGATGAGTGGAGGAGAAGTACATTAATTCCTATTTATAAAAATAAAGGAGATATTCAGAATTGTACTAACTATAGAGGGATTAAGCTCATAAGCCATACAATGAAATTGTGGGAGAAAGTAATTGAACACAGGTTGAGATTGGAGACAAGTATTTCTAAGAATCAGTTTGGTTTTATGCCAGGTAGATCAACTACAGAGGCGATTTATCTACTAAGGGGATTAATGGAAAAGTATCGTTGTAAAGATAAAGATCTACACATGGTTTTTATTGATTTGGAAAAAACTTATGACCGTATACCAAGAGAAGTGCTTTGGAAAGCGTTAGAAAAAAAAAGGGAGTACGGATTGCTTATATTAAAGCCATACAAGATATGTATGAGGGGGTAAAAACTAGTATAAGAACGCCTAGTGGTCAAACAAAGGATTTTTCTATAAAGATTGGATTACATCAAGGATCATCTCTGAGTCCCTATCTGTTCAACTTGATCTTAAATGTTTTGACGGAACATATTCAAGGGGAAATTCCGAAATGTATGCTCTTCGTGGATGATATAGTTCTTATAGCAGATACAAGAGAAGAGGTTAATTGCAAATTTGAGTTATGGAGGAGGACATTGGAGTCGAAAGGTTTTCGTCTGAGTAGAAGTAAGACGAAATATTTATATTGTAAATTTGGTAAAGGACTATTCGACAATAATTTGGAAGTAAAATTGGGAGATCAAATTATACCTCAAGTGGAAAAGTTTAGATATTTGGGAGCTATTATTCAAAATGATGGCGAAATTAGTGGAGATATTTCACATAGAATTCAAGCTGGGTGGTTTAATTGGAGAAAAGCTAAAGGAGTTATTTGCGATCGTAAGGTGCCTAATAAACTTAAAGGAAAGTTTTATCGCACTGCTATCAGACCGGCAATGTTATATAGTAGTGAATGCTGGGTTCTAACGGGACAACAAGAGCATAAAGTTGGAGTAGCAGAGATGAGAATGTTACGATAGATGTGCGGACATACACGTAAAGATAAAATTCGAAATGAGCACGTACGCGAAAAAGTGAGGGTGGCACCTATTGAGGAAAAAATGGTAAAAAAATCAGTTGAGATGGTTTGGGCATGTACAAAGAAGACCAAGGGAGGCACCAGTGAGAAGAGTGGAACATATAACTTTGAGTCCGATTAAAAGAGGTAGAGGAAGGCCTAAGAGAACACTTTTGGAAGTTATTGAACGCGATCTGTTAATTAATAATATTCCTAAAAGCTTGATAAATGATAGAGCACAATGGCGTCTTACAATCCATGTAGCCGACCCCACCTAGTGGGATAAAGGCTTGTTGTTGTTTGTTTGTTTGTTTGTTTAGCATATTACCAAATTAAACATATCAAATAGACAAATACACTGATAAAATAATGTCGGGAAATTACAAATTAAACATATTAAATAGACAGATACATTGATAAAATATGTTGGGGAATTACAGATACCTTTTTAATCAAATCAGTTATGGGTCTTTCCATTTTCTCTTGGGGCTTCAATAGTTCTGCTTTAACAGGGAAAACCTGAAAGAAAATAAGTATCACTTACTTCTAGCTAAAAGGCATAATAGAATAAAAGGGCCGTCAAAGTACAGCCTCTTGCATGAAAAATTCCAATCATAAATCCACTTGTCAGCATAAGGGAAATTTCTCAAGCAATACCAAAGTCAAATGAGTAATTATTTTTTGAGCTTAAATCAATTCCTAAGAATTAACGAAAGGTTAAAAAAATCATCAAGAATATGGGGGAAAAAAAAGATAAGTCAGCAGGAGGAGGACAAGGGGACATTCAATAGAAGTAAATGTCATAATATATATTTCTTACTAGAAACACTCTTGTGGGTTTATTTTTTTAAAATATATATATATATATGTATTTATTTTTCTTATGCTAGCTTGCTTCATATTTAATTTAAATGTCATGATCATTTAAATAATAATTTAAATACACAATATAGAAACACTAAACACACCAAAGCCTACAGCAAATTTAGATAGCAGTAAGGAAAATTTAAACATGTTGATGCAAATGTTTACAGCTAGACCAATACATCACAAATGTAAGGAGAATATTTTCTTTTTGACCAAAAATCTGCAATGATATTAATATTAATCCAGTAGGGTACAACTGTCCAAATGAGTGAGGTGACTTTGGAAAAGACTAAGTTACCCAATGAGATGGAATTTTTCGATGTGAATAATCACAAATTACCGAATTGAGAGTGAAAAGAGTCAAGCTGTTACATTAACTTGACTGTCAACTTAGAATTGATTATAAGGTCATCCCATGCTTAGCATCCTCATATGCAGCTGCCAGAAATTCTTCATTGCTAATATCACCAACAATGTCACAAGGAGCACTGCATCCTAAAAATTTAAGTCAAATTTTACTTTACTGAGCTTTTTTTTCCCATTCAAGCAAAAGAGAATTGGAGTGTTGTTTATTGAAGTAAACTCAAAAGAGAATCAGAGTATTGTTTCCCGAAGTATACTCTAAAAAAACATAATTTATCGTCACAGCTGCCGGAAAATGCATGGGCAAAGCTTTCTATGCCACTTCTTGAGATGAAAATGGAGGTTAAACCTTGTTTTCCTCTCTAGTAAGTTCACAATCAATTTGGTTCCATACATACTACAAACATTGACCACAAAGTCCACATAATAAAACATGCCAGTGAGTATGATATTGTTTTCTTTGAAGTAATGGATTGGCTTTTTCTTTTCAGACCAATAAAAAAAATACATTATTACTTATCACCCTATTTGATGGCTAACAAATAAAGAATTTATTGCTTCAACCACGTATATGATGCTGATCAACAGGGACAAAATGTAATAGCCCCAACTCATATTGAAATTCCAACTCATATGCCTAAGCACACAAGTTTATTACAAGGGGACGGAGATCAAGCATTTGATTGTGGGTTGGCAAATACTATTAAGACTAAACACATGCAAAATTATATGTTTTAAACTTTCAATACCAAATCAGCTTTCAATTCTGGCAGCAAATTAACATCTCATACACTATATAGTATTCAATGTAAGAAATCACTGCTCACAAAGGAACAATGTAAGCTAAACTCAATTCAAATATATCAAAAGATATATTCAGTACTCTTCTATATCTTTGACCACATCCAACAATCAATCATAACACCCACAAATAAAAGACGATTAGCAAGTTTACATTAATAGTAAGCCCAAAATAAAAAATGTTGACTATCCACTATTAAATGAAGGAATCTGAGATGTAATCCAATGAACCAAACTTTGTGAAGCAATACAGACACAATATGTAAATCAAGTACATAATACAAACAACATTTACAAGTCTCCAAAAGAGGGTGTTGCGGTTCTTCTCGATGCCCAAAAGAAAATGATGAGCATGAAAACCATATTTGAAGAGCACAATGTAAAATGATTCTGTCTAGATTATAGTAAAGAGTTTTGGTTGTGGTGCACTGTGGAAGTAAAGGAAGGATGATGCAGAGAGAGAGAGAGAGACTTGAAATTTAAAAACCAATGAAGAATGGAAGGAGAAATCGACGAAAATGACCAAGCTTTGTATATATTGAATGCTATCATTCGGTAGGTTAATCGAAGCATAGAGGAAGAGAAAGGATAATTTTTTCAACAAAATATAAGTGCATTAACCGTGAGAGATGTTAGATCAATTACCATTCTTCACTCCTCCCAAATCCTCTCCCCCATCGCAAATTCTTCTTCCAAAGCTTAATTTATGGGAGAAATCCTAGATGAAGGAAGAAAACAAACGAAGAAGTAATTAAGAACAATTGATTAGAACTTGGGGAGGGAAAAAAATAAAAAAGCATGGCGATACGACTGAAGAAGACCAATAAAGAAGAACAGCAGAGAAGACAGGGATTATTGGTTTCTATATTCTGATATAGCTTGTTAATGGGCAAAAGTGACAAGATATTTTAAACAACCTGAAGGGGTCAGAGTGGATGTCGATCTCATTCTCATTTGTCCTCCGCCTCCTTGATGACCCTCGCCGCCAACCAAGAACAACATGAACTGGGTCACAGATGGCACTTCAAATAGACGCGCACTGTCCCCTTCATCTTCTTCGTGCTGCCTTCTGTTGTGATCGAATCAAATACCTATACGCCCTTTGTCTCTTACTTAGGACATTCTAGAAGAGGGAGTGGAAGGAATGAAAGTGGCGGGCAGGTGATTAGGCAGGGAAACCGACGCGCAATTGCTACCACCTTCGTCGTTCATCGCTAACACAAACTCACAATTTCCTCCTTCAAAATCCTCAAACTCGCCTTAGATCCCAGTCGCCTCTGCCTCAGATCATTCAACCGTCCTACCGAAGACCAATATCCCAAAATTGACATCAACCCTCTTTAAGAACGCCCACACACAAAACCGAATTGCCCAGCGCACAAATGCACCGAGCCAAAAGAAACCCTCTTTCACACTCGGCCTGTGCCGAGAAAGGGTTGCCGTAGACGGCATCGTCCGCCGTGCGGAGAACCCTCCGAAAACGAGGCGACGGTTCAAAACCCTAGCAAGGCATGAGGCCCCAGCCAATCGCTTCCCTATGACTTGAGTCTCAGTCTTGAAGAGTCGCGCCGCAGATACCGTCAGTTATTTGTGCCTCGCTTAGGTTACATGATAGCAGCCGCTAATAATAGCTTCGCAGAATCGCACAGATGTGCTCATCACTCATGATTGGAAATAAAAAGCCCTTTGCAAAAGGAAGGAAATAAATAAATAAAAGAAAGCCCAACATAAATTATGATTGAACGGTAAATCATCGTCTTCTTAAATTTTAAGGCTTTACCATTAATTTAAAATTCACTGAATCTAATTTACTTAATTGTTATTAATAATTATTAATTTTTATTAAAAAATAATATGTTATTCCATAATCGTTCACACTATTCAATTTAAAATTTATTATTATTATTATTATTATTATTATTGTTATTATTATAATAAATTTGTATTCAAAAGATATTATAAACGCATGCGCACTTGTTTTTTATATGCAAGAATAGATATTTAGCCTTCTTTTGCAAAACACTCGTTGGTTAAGGGTGCTATAGATCTGTCAAAAGCATTTTTCCTTAAGAAGTTAGTTTTAAAAAAATAATAATTCCTAGAAAATATTATTCTAATTTCAATTTAGACGCATGTAAGTGACTTGCCTATTAGAATGTTTACCCCTCTAATATGGCATTTTTTTTTTGTCTTAATGTAAGAACAAGTTGACTAATTTACATCTATTCAAGAAATTAAGCAATTTAGATACAAAACTTGGATAAGTCACACCCATTATAGTAGGATTTAGACACTGAAAGTGGAATATTCTATATATTTGTAATTTAGTGTATATAGTTATATTTTCTTTTTTAAATTACATTTATTCTATGATATTTGTTAAGATTGTGTACAAAAAGGCAAAATAAATAGAGCGATGAGGATTTAAAATAAAGAATATTCAAACCTCGTGCATTGCACAAATGTGATTAAAATTCGTGTGAGAGAAACAAACATAAAAAACACAATTTAAATTAGAACATAAAAAATAAATATTTTGTCATCAAATATATAAAAAGATAAACCTTATGCACGTTGATATTATTTAAAGATCTTATTAAAAATTTTATCATTTAAAGATTAAAACATCATTTATAAAAAGAATAGACATAATGTTATTGATTAATTTTACATGTCATTTATTTATTTAATCAAATTAAATTATTAAGTTATACAATGTGATGAAATTTTGTAGAATCTTTTTAATTACTTCTTCACAAGAACAAAGGTTTTAATGAATAATAAGTAACAGACGTATGTGAAACTTCTTCGTATTGAATTGTTTTAATTGTTTTTTTTTCAAGAGATATATTTTAAAAAAATAATTATAAATGATCTTTAAGCTATTAATTTGAAGTCCCAAAAATGTAGTCTTTTTAAACATTTGATGATAGAAATACATCTAATATGTCATCTAATGTAAATACATTTGAAGTCACAAAAAAGTCATTTACTTTCTAACATAACTATGTTGTGTTTTTTATTTTTCATTTTTAATCTTTATGTAATAAAAGGGATATTTTTATCTCATAAAATGATAAATGATAAAAATCAAACTATTTGGGGAGCTCTATCTTCAGAGCCTTCAAATTTTGTAAACAGATAGAGCAAATATTGAATCACTTTTTCAAGATTAATCATCTAGCTATTTCCAAAATTTGGATTCTAACAGATTATGAAGGAAGAAACTTACTTGAGACAATATCTACAAAATATTAGGAGGAGTTAACATAATCACCATATCAAATATATCAAATTGTTCTCAATAAATAATTTATAAAGCGATTGGGACCCAAGACTTCATTTTCAAAATCGTTCAAAATTATTTGAAATCCAATACATATTAATCATTGCACAATGGAAGAGATATAAGATTAAAAAGTGAGCAATGCGCCACGGTGTGGCATGCACCACATGCACCACGGCATGTGGCACAAAGCTATGGGCTCCCCTTTTTATGCCATGCGCCATGACTTATTGAGCCATATGTCACGGCACACATGATAGATTTTTATTGTTATATGATAATTCATAAAGGCGAATTTTTAGGGTGCACAGTTTTCCCATACGTCATCCGATCAAAGTGATTCAAATGCACACATGAAGTTTATTTCATAAGCTAACTAATGAGATAAGTTTGAACACAATCTAATAGTTCAATTTAAATTTGAACACTAGAGTGCAAAAAGTCACTTTTTCTAAAAAGTTTGCACACCAAAGTGTTTAAATTGCTCACTTAGCCTCATTAAACTGTTTGGGACTTAGATCTAAAAGAACTTTATACACTTCCACACATCACATCATATATTCATGTAAATTAACATTTGACCATTCAACCGCCCATTTTACAAGCAAAAGGGGCTATATATTTCACTAGTAAACACAATAGTGTATTCTTGGCCATTCTACTCATAATCCCCATACAGTTTTCACCACAATTCATTGCAAATATACCCACACATACATTCACAACCAAATCTTAACCTCAATCACATCATTTACAAACACATTGGCTAAGATTTCTCTGAAGTCACTAGAAATCATAATTCAAACATGCATGCAAGTCCTATGGCACCTTTCATTTACAATATTCACAAGAGACAAAGTCTATTATGCATACTCTAAATTTGCATGATTTAATCCATACTAAGCTGGCCTTTAGTCTTTCCCTTTTCCTAGCTTACTATTTTGACTTGTAAAAATGTAACCACGAGATGAGATAATAATCTTAGTAATAAAACAACCCACTACTATAAATTATCACAAGTAACTATAAGCAAATATAGTATATATATAATTCAAACATAGCATATAATACAAATATGATTTCATAAAACCATTTTTACTGCAAATCACTACTTTCTGCATGATCACTGCTGTCCAAACTTTTCTATCACCACAACTAAAACCATAGACTTATAATGGGCCAATACATACTCACTGACCTGAGCGCACCTTCAGTTGTAAAATCACCTAGCTAAAGGTGTTCTGTCCCACTTTTGGACTATGATTTCCTCCTATCACACACTCATCAAGGTGTTGTTACTCCAACGCTGCATTACATAGATGCTAAGGAGCTTAGATCTCCAACACCGCACCCCTCATAAGCACTAAAGAGATAGTCTCCAACACTACACCTAAAAAAGTACTGAGGAGATAAAATTCTCTGACACCGTACCCTGTCGGACACTAAAGAGAATATGCCGTATGGGCTTTCACTATTTCTCCTTACGGGTGAACTCTCACCCCTATGACCATGCTTTCATATAAACCACATATGCATATATATAACCACATATTTTCACCTGTTTTTGTAACTGAAATCCATTTTATGCAATAACCATGCATTGTCTCAAAACATGCTTGGTTTAAAACAATGTCATGCAATAGATATCATACTTTTAAATAGTTATAATAGATAGTCAAACAAAAGAAGTTATTCGATTACCTTAATCCTTCTATCACTAAAAAGGTTACCATGGATTTCATAACCACTAACGCTTCTCTATATGCTTCCTTTCTCACTCTACATGTATAATATGCTAATCTACACACAATTGGTACTATTAGTCAATTAATCAAATTGACCAAAAGCACTTACTAGTAAAAACCATATCTAGCCATTCATTCTCTTTCACTTAGTCAATCTAGGCTCATCACTACTCATTCACCACTTTCTACCACTTTGATAAACCCTTAGTTGCCTTAGGTTTTCAAATTTAAAACTAAAATGCAAAAGTGAATATCCTAGGTCATTTCCCTAGGGACATTCAAATTATTGTTCAAGTGCTACAAATTAAGCTAAATTTCAAGTAATCAAAACTAAGTCTAAGTGCATGAATTAGATATTCGTAATTTTCTATTTTAATTGGAATGGAATAAATGGTAATTATGATGAGCTAAGTTAGATTTCCTAACATTAATAATTGATTTCCAGAAATATATTAACACAAACCCTCTTAATTAACCTAATATGAGACACTTAGAAGCCTCTAAATGTAGTGCACTATTAGATTTAATGGATACTATTAAATCTAGGTCAAGTGAATTTAGAATTAACATTATGTCCAGCTTTGTTCTACATAAGTTTCAGACTAAAATTAGTGGAAGAAAAACACCTTAAGCCAAATTCATATAACCAATATGGATCTAACTTATGTCTACATATGAACTTGAACAAGAATGAGCAAGAACTTGTGAAATAACCCTAGAACATCAAGCTAAATCATAAATTTTAGATATGGACATAGCATAAAAATCTAAATCCAACATTCATATTCTCATCAAATCAAACTTAGAATTACAAAATCCTTAACCAAACTAGGTGCAGAATTTGAATTCCACTATGAATCAAGAAAAGAACATAAAATCAAGAGAGTGAATGAAGATTACAAATATGAAAATCTCATAATATCAAGTTATCTTTCTTGGAGCTTGAGGTGATTAGCCTCTCATGCTCTTCTTCTTCAACTAAATTAGACCTTGAGCTTGAGAAACCACGGTAAATCTAGAATCATGAAGCTTGCTAGATGAAAATATAGTGATAGAATGATGAAATCTAAATTTGGAATTGAGATAGAACAGGACAAAATG